CGGTGAGCTGGAAGGAATTCCCCCTTTCATTAGGGCTGAATGGCGTTTTGCCCGTGGCTTTTATACATTTGCTGAAGAGTCGTCAACCACGGTTCTTCCCGCACTGATTGGCCTCGTCACCCGTGTGGCATTTTCTCCGAGTCATGCATGCGCTGATGCTGAGTGGAGGATTGAAAGGGGTGGCTGCCATGGCGACCTTGGCGGACTGCAAGGAGACCCTCTTGCAACGGCGAGCCGCCACGCTTATCCAGTAAGGAGGTTCTGCTTGACGGCCTCGCCTGCTCTGGGGCCAGAAGGGAGAGGACTAGCATCAAAAGTGATTTCCACATCTCTTGTCTCCCTATTCCCCACGAAGCAATGATTTGCGGCCCCATGGGTGTTTGGGGATTGGGGTCGCAGGGTCTCAGACTCCTGAGCTCTCTGGGGGAGATAGTCGCTATCCGAGCGTAAAGTGCGCAAGAATGGACCAGAAGGAAGAGTCTCGAGCAGACAGATGCCAATTCACCCGCTCTCCAGGCTGTGTTTCCGCCCAGGCTGCAGCCGTGGGGTCGGTGTGTTAGCGAGGTTGAGATGAGATGAAGTGGTGATGCTGCCCCCTATCAACGTGGTGACGCTAACCAGATGGGGCCATCTCAACTCCATTGTTACGAGCTGGATCCACCAGCCAAAAATAAACAGCGTCGGCAAGAAATGCCATCTGGCTCATCAAATGCTGTCTACTTTACAGATAGAAGTACAAAATGAAAGCATTTCAATGCAGGGAAACCATGCGCCATGAGAGGAGATCCGGCTGTGTGGAGATATGTCCAAACACGTACTTATCCAGCAGAAATCGCGTCTCTTCTTTACCTCCCTTTACGTCTCTGGAATGGCCTTTTATCTACCGGCACCGAATAATACACAAATTGGGAATAAGGAGATGCCATGAATAGCCTGAAAACGGGGGAAATGTGAGGAACAAGACAGGGAGATGCAAGGAAAAGAGATTTGAAATTTACAATACATACACGCCGACTCATGAGGGAAGAGGGGTTCGGAGGCCAAACGGATCATGATGAGGCGTTAGGCGCCGGAGAGTCATTTTCTTGATCTCTCTCGGTCATATTCGTGCCCTCCGTGGGCGGTGGTGGTGGAGCAATCGTTCCACCACCTCCGGTTCCGTCAAAGTATTTCGCAAACTCTCCTGATTCTGGCCACTGCCTCTTGCCAAGGAGGCGGATGAGATCATCGCGACTGAGGACTTCTTTCGATAAAAGTTCTTCGGCCACGAGACGGATTTCAGGCTTCTTGGCCTCCAGTAGATCACGACATTGCTTGTAAGCTTCATCGACCAGGCGTCGCACTTCGAGATCGATATTCTTGGCTGTTTCTTCGGAGAAGGGCTTGTGCAGTTGCTGCTGGTCTTCCTCAAAGTACAGGTATCCGATCTTGGACGACATACCGAATTTAGTAACCATGGCAGTAGCGAGCCGTGTCACCTTGTTGAAGTCATCGCTAGCACCGCTGGTAACGGTGTCAAAATGAAGCTCCTCACTGACACGGCCACCAAGCGTCATGGCCATGCGGTCCATAAGTTGGCGAACGTTCATCAAGTACGTGTCACCCTGAGCGGGTAGGTATTGAGCGTAGCCGAGAGCACCTTGACCACGGGGAATGATGGACACCTTGAGTAATGGATCGGCGTATTGGAAGTACCAGCCACAAATAGCATGGCCGGCTTCATGATACGCAACAGTCCGCTTCTCATCAGGGGAGAGTACAAGGGATTTCTTCTCGAGGCCACCGACAACTCTTTCAATCGCTTGCTCAAAATGTTTCATCGTGACGCTAGCTGCGTGGCCACGAGCAGCTGTTCTCAACGTTAGACCATATTCAAAAAAGCGCATTCTGGGGATTTACATACCGACCAAAGCAGCCTCGTTCACACAGTTTGCAATGTCAGCTCCAGAGAAACCAGTGTCAACGCCGCCAGTCTACCTTTCAAGTAGTCCATATCTTCGTGGGTGACAATCTTCTTCAATGGACACCGAAATCTGCTTCCGACCGTCCATCGTTGGTCTATCGATGGCAATATGTCTATCGAATCGACCGGGACGCATCAGCGCCTTGTCAAGAACATCCGGCCTATTTGTACCAGCAAGGACGACAACTTGTTCAGAGGTATTAAATCCATCCATCTCAGTGAGAATTTGATTGAGGGTGCTTTCCCGCTCATCGTTCCCGCCACCAAAATTCTGCTTAGCTCTCGATTTACCAATAGCGTCGATTTCGTCAATAAAGATAATGCAAGGAGTATTCTTTCGTGCAGTTGCGAAAAGGTCACGAACACGGGATGGACCAACACCCACAAACATTTCCACGAATTCCGAACCGCTGACACTGTAGAAAGGAACACCAGATTCACCAGCAGTTGCTTTCGCCAACAGCGTCTTACCGGTACCAGGAGGCCCTGACAAAATGGCACCACGAGGAATCTTCGCGCCCAGCCGTTGAAACTGTTCTGGTTTCTTCAGGAAGCTAACAAACTCCATGATTTCAACTTTGGCTTCGTCCATTCCAGCAACGTCGGAGAATTTGATCTTGATATCTGTTTCATGGTTGAAGCGTCTCGCCCGACTTTTCCCAATACCGAAGATACCGCTTTGCCCGCCTCCGCCGCCACCAGCACGTCTTGATAACCAGAAGAAAGAACCAATGAGTAATAGCGTGGGACCGAAGGATAGTAAAGTGGCAAGCCATGGGACTTCATCGGCATAGGCAACAGGGATACGCTCAGAGCTAGGTATGCCAAGTTCCCTTTGTGCTTCGTCTAGCCTTCTTTCAAAAGCTTCGACGGATCCTATTGTGAAGTAGTAATGGAAATTTGGTCTGCTGGCGGGTGATTCAGGGTACATGCTTGCGACAGCCTCACGGGGGAGATCGACGCGTACTGTGCTGCGGTTAGCAACTGTGAGTTTATCGACAAGTCCCTTGTCAAAGAATGTGTTTCTGAATTCTTGCCACGTAATATCCCTGGAGGATTCGCCGGTAAACAGACGTCGATAAACGTAGTATGAAATGAAGGCTCCGATCAAAGAACTCCCAGCATCGATACTTGAATTCGAATGGCTTTCGATAGCTGGCCCTGCTCGCGCTTGGCTTATGCATCTGACACTGACCTTGTTGGCTCATCTCGCTGCTGGGACTGCTCGCCT